CTGTCTAAGAACAAACAAACAAAAAAAGGCGAGGGGTTGCCAAATAGCCCCCATTCTCCCATCTCTGCCACATACTACCCGTGTAAATTTGCTACTTCACTTTAATCCCTGGAGCCTCAGTTTCCACATCTGTAAACCTACTTCATGAGGCTATGATAAAACGCTTAGTATAGTGCCTCACATACAATAAGCACTTAATAGTTCAATAATATTATGTGAAATAGCAACAAGGAAAAACGGAGAAATGAGTGTGGTTAACTATGGGGGTGAGAACTCCTCTATTATGTGCTGTACAGCACATATACATTTAAAAATGGGAAATTGCTGAATTCAGGGACATTCTTAAAGGTGAATAAAGGAGTTTATTCTTGCAAACCAATTTATTCCATGGGATAGGAAACATGATCTCTGGAGACAGTGACTCATGTGCTTACAGTTCTGTAACCAGAGAGAAAATATTTCTGTTCAAGTTAGGAAATTCTCAGAGAAGGGTTCTAAATGGTCCTGCAGGTCCATCCCTAGACCAGTCACCTTAACCAGGTGCAGTAGACCCCTCCAACAGACCCGTGTCCTAATCCCTGGAGCCTGCAAACTCTATGTCTCAGGAGAGACTCTGTAGATGTGATTAACGGTACAGACTTTGAAACACGAAGATTATCCTGGGTGGTCCAGGCCGGCCAATCTAACGATGGGCTCTTTTTTTTTTTTTTTGAGACGGAGTTTCACTCTTGTTACCCAGGCTGGAGTGCAATGGCGCGACCTCGGCTCACCGCAACCTCCGCCTCCAGGGTTCAGGCAATTCTCCTGCCTCAGCCTCCTGAGTAGCTGGGATTACAGGCATGCGCCACCATGCCCAGCTAATTTTTTGTTTTAGTAGAGACGGGGTTTCACCATGTTGACCAGGATGGTCTCAATCTCTTGACCTTGTGATCCGCCCGCCTCAGCCTCCCAAAGTGCTGGGATTACAGGCTTGAGCCACCGCGCCGGGCCCCACAATGGGCTCTTAAACACAGAGAGCCTTTCCTGGGGGTCAGAGGCCTGATGACAGTAGAAGAGTTAAAGAGATGTGACTTGGCTAGCTTTGAAGAGGTTGGAAGGAGGTCACCAGCAAGGAATGCAAGGGGCCTCTACATTCTGGAAGGGCAAGGAGGTAGATTCCCCACTAGAAGTTCCAGGAGGGTTTGCAGCCCTGGTGGCACCTTGATTTTAGTCCAGTGAGACCTGTGTGGGACTACTGAACTGTAAAATAATACAGTTTTTGTTGTTTTAAGCCACTAAATCTGTGGTAATTTGCGAAGGCAGCAATGGGGAACTAACATACTAGAGAAGCCAGGGAGAAAGCAGGGTCGCAGGTCTCAGCTCGACCCCTGTTCTCTGTCCCACCTGCCCTGAGGCAGCTTGCTGAATGATATCCCCTGCGTCCTCCACCACAGCGCACTCACCTCATTCCACAGGAATAAACTGCGTGAGAGAATGAAATAGATGATGTACTGGTAAGAGGTAGAGCTCTGATTCTGCCTGAGCCCCTAATTCCGCCATTTTTTTTGAGATGGAGTGTTACTTTGTCACCCAGACTGCAGTATGGTGACTCGATCTTGGCTCATTGCAACCTCTGCCTTCCGGGTTCAAGCAATTCTCCTGCCTCAGCCTCCTGAGTAGCTGGGATTACAGGCACTCACCACTGTGCCCAGTTAATTTTTGTGTTTTTAGTAGAGACAGGGTTTCACCATGCTGGCCAGGCTGGTCTCAAACTCCTGACCTTAAGTGATCCACCCACCTCAGCCTCCCAAAATGCTGGGATTACAGACCACAGCCACCATGCCCGGCAGTTCCAGTCATTTTTGAAGCAAGTTAGTTCAGAGTTAATTTTCTGTCACTTGCAATTAAACTATCCTGCCTAAGTTATAAACCATAGTGAGAGAGGGATGGTTGAAGAAGAGTTGTTCTTAAAGGCCTTTTGAGACAATATCCAATAATAGTTTAATGTGATTCCCACAGGAAGCCACTGAAGAACACATTATTCTTAGATGAATGAAGACTGTTGTTTATGGGAAATCCATTTAGCCACTCATTTAGCTCACTGCAACCTCTGCCTCTGGGGTTCAAAAATCCCAAAGTGCTGGGATTACAGGCATGAGCCACCCCGCCCAGCCCCAAATTTGTTTTTCTTTTACCTCTAGTGAAACACACTGTGCATAGAATATCCCGCCTTATGTTTTCTTTGTTTTTTTAAGTTACCAAATTAGAGCCATTTTCAAGTCTTTATCATTTCCTGTTTCTTTTCCTGGGTGCCAGATTAACTCAATGTTCTAGAGTCTAGACAGCTACTGGACAATCCGTTAAGCCTGACTGGTGGTGGTAGAAAGACTTTCGAGCACTGGCCATGTGATCATTTTTCCTTCTCCTAGAGAAATATGCATGTTAATAAAAGACTCTGGATGTTCCATCCCAAGAGGTAATTTATAATTTACATGGAAACACACAGTGGCATGCAACATTCATTACATTTTACTTTCTGGAATATATGTAAACTTGCTCTTCTAATTTTGTCATTAGCAAATAGGAAAACACTGTATCTTTTGTTGCCACACATAAAGAAAAAAGTTGTAGTTCTGAGGTGCCCCAGGGCACCCCAACCCTTTAAAGCAGTTACTGATTATGCCCATGAAGCTTTACCATGAGCCTACTCCATATTTTTTGTCTGTCTTTTCTTGTTGGAAGGAGTAGACTACTCACAATTTTATCTTTTCTTTAGAAGAGAACAAAAGCTCCATCAACAGATGGATGAGAAGCAAAGTGAGCAACATCTGACTATTATGTAATATTATCTTTGGTAGAAAGTCAAGAGACTTGGAATCAAACTGTTTTTTTGAAGTTCTGAAATGTTTGTTTTTAAAAATAATCAAAGAGATGATGTTCACAAAACCTGTCAAGTTGCCAAAACATCACTATTGGATTGTTGGGTCTTAGCTTATTTCATCCATTTGTTCACAAGTATTTATTAAGCACCTGCTATTTGTCCTACTGAACAAATCAAGCATCTTCCCTGTGGCTATTGTATACAGCTAAGCAGGTGAATGGCACCCAATGGAGTTGCGTAGTGCACAATTTCCACTACTGCCGGTGGTCCCTGTCCTCATGGAGATTAAATTCAGAAATTCAGTTACCTCTTTTTTTTTTTGAGATAGAGTTTCACTCTTGTTGCCCAGGCTGGAGTGCAATGGTGCGATCTCGGCTCGCCACAACCTCTGCCTCCCGGGTTCAAGTGACTCTCTTGCTTCAGCCTCTCGAGTAGTTGGGATTACAGGCATGCGCCACTGTGCCCAGCTAATTTTGTATTTTTATTAGAGACGAAGTTTCTCCATATTGGTCAGGTCGGTCTCAAACTTCTGACCTCAGGGGATCTGCCTCCTCAGCCTCCCTAAGTGCTGGGATTACAGGCGTGAGCCTCTCCTCACCTGCTTTAATTCTTTGCTCAAATGTCACCTTTTTACTTTGAGAAGGAAACCTTTGGAGGTTTGGAGTACAGAAGGGATACTATTTATCTAAAAAGAAAAACAACATTTAGAAATATAACAGTATGGACCAGGCATGGTGGCTCAGGCCTGTAATCCCAGGACTCTGGGAAGCTGAGACCAGCGGATCACTTGAGGTCAGGAGTTCAAGACCAGCCTGGTTAACATGGTAAAACCCTGTCTCTACTAAAAATACAAAAATTAACCCAGCATGATGGCGGGTGCCTGTAACCCAGCTACTCAGGAGGCTGAGGCAGGAGAATTGCTCAAACCCGGGAGGCAGAGGCTGTAGTGAGCTGAGATCCCACCACTGCACTTTAGCCTAGGCGACAGAGTGAGACTCCGTCTCAAAAAAAAAAAAAAAAAAAAAAAAAAGAGAATAGTATGAGCAAAGAGTGAGTAAGGCAGTTATCAGATGTCTACTTTGCCAGGTCACAGCAAATGAAGGTTTATATATAGTATAGATAATAAATGCCCAGCTCTTCCCCTCTAAAACTCTAACACTCTTAAGAATTTTTTCATGAACGCTCCCCCACCCCCCATCCTTGTTTTTTTTTTTTTTTTTAAATGTAGATTCGAGGTCTTACCATGTTAAGCAGGCTTGTCTGGAACTCCTGGGCTCAAGTGATCCTCCTGCTTCTGCGTTCTAAAGTGCTGGGATTACACCGCGCTCAGTCGTGAACACGGGGTTGGTTTGTTTGTTATAAAACCCCTAGAGAACCCGCATATTCTAACCTGCGCTGGTTTTTGTATTTTTGCAAAACAACACCTCACACGTTCTAGTACCAACGTATAGATTTTTTTGCACCCAGTTTGGTTGCCTGCGGCCATAAGCACTTCTATTATTTTTGAGTTGGAGTCTCGCCCTGTAGCTCAGGCTGGAGTGCAGTGGCAGGATCTCGGCTCACTGCAACCTCCGCCTCCCAGGTCCTGGTTCAAGCAATTCTTCTACCTCAGCCTCCCAAGTAGCTGGGGTTACAGGCACTAGCCACCATGCCCACCTGATTTTTGTATTTTTTAGTAGAGACGGGGTTTCACCATGTTGGCCAGTCTGGTCTTGAACTCCTGACCTCGTGATCCGCCCGCCTCGGCCTCCAAAGTGCTGGGATTATAGGCCTAGGCCACCGCTTAAAGTCTTCTTTAAGCCTTTCCAACCCATCCTTCCAGAGAAAGTGCCTTCATAAGGAAGTGAAACTGGATAAACAAGATACACATCATTGTGCTTAACACATATTCACACCCGGCACTGTCACATCCATCGTGCCTGGAGGACAGGCATAAATGTAAGGTTTTCCTCCTACGCTCCCGGCCCACTCCTAGCCTTAGGCCTGAGCCTGCGCAGCATCCCTGCCCCAGGCCAGGGCCCGCCGGTGCCGCGCAGCCTCCTGGAAGATATGGGAGAGTTCCTCCGCGGTAGAACTACAACTCCCAGCAGGTCTTGCTTCTCTCCACCTCCCTCGCAGCGCATGGCCTGCCGGGAGGGGGGCAGGTAGCCGGCGGCCCCGGTCCAATGGGTGCCGGCTCCCGAGGAGAGGGAGGAGGAGAGGAGGAAGGAGGCGAACTGTGGGCCCCAGCCCCATTCATTGCCGCGGCCGGCGGGCACTGGGGCCAGTGTTTTCAGAGTCATGGAGGCGCTGATTCCTGTCATTAACAAACTCCAGGACGTCTTCAATACGGTGGGCGCCGACATCATCCAGCTGCCTCAAATCGTCGTAGTGGGAACGCAGGTGAGTGCCACGGGCGGCGTTCGCCCCGGCCACACCGCGGCAGCAGGCCTGGTCGTGGCTGCGGCAGTGCCCACTCTCGCGCCATCGTTTGCGGCAGTGGGAGGAGGGCCTTGTTGGGGGCCCCAGGGCTCTCCGGGCTCTGTCGTGCCCGCTGGCCCGGAGCAGCGTTGCATCGAGGCGGAGAATCCGGGGCCCGGCCAGGGGCGGAGCCGGCGCGGCAGGCCTGGCTGGCCCGGCGGGTCCCGGGGGCAGGAGAGGGAGGGATCGGCCGGCGGGCGGAACTGGAGTCCGCTGGGACCCGGCGCGGCCTCGTCCGCGTGCCGCTGCCTCCAAGGGCACCTGGGGGACGCGCGGGGCACTCGGGGCCGCGCTGGGCTTGGTGGGCTGGCTGGGCCCATCGCGGTTGGCTTTCGTGCGGCGTGTGTTTTATTTCCCCCTTGCTTTGCCCAGGGACTGCAGAGTTAGTTTCGGGACCGCGTTGTTGAGGCTGAGAGGCGCTACGGTAGAGCGCCAGGGTTTTCTTGCAGTGTAACTCCTCCAGGTTTTAAGAACACCGAAGCAGCGTTTTAAAAAAACAAACAAAACGTGTTATCTGGAGTTCTGCCAGTGTTGGGAAGGAGTATCCGATTTTTCTGCGTAGGCTGTGGTTTTTGTCTTCCACAGTTTTGTGGTCGTGACCTAAATTGGGCATAAGTTTCTCTGGTCTTCTCATAGCTAACTCATATTTTTTTTTGGTATGCAGAAGTGTTGAGGAAATAAATGTTATTTCTAGCGTGGTAGAGAAGTGTAAGTTTCCTTTTTTTTGCCTGCTGCTTTTATTGACCTAAGAATCATAGGGCTTCGATTAGAGTTCAGAGAAACGGATTTTAGAAATTACTTAGTATATTTAAGTGGCTTCATTTCTTAAGAGTATCTTTTCTATTGAGAAGGTGACGTTTTCCCCATCAGTTTCCATGAGGTGCATGCTATAGGGTATAAATATTATGAAAAGCAACTTAATGTTCAAAATATTAGTGGCTATGCAAATACGGGAAAGCATACCAAACACTTGAAGGAATAGACATCCTGTACTTTTTTTTTTTTTTTTGCTTTTATATAGTTGAAGCATATAAATTGTTTTAGAAACACATTTCCTTGGTCTGCGATACGATTGGGAAAGATTCTGTTCAGTCTTGCCTACATATTATAGTATTTGTAACATTTAATGTTTATAATATTCCGAGACTTAGAAGCATCAAACATAAATGATGAGAATTTTTTTTTTGTAGACGGAGTCTTGCTCTGTCACCCAGGCTGGAGTGTCGTGGTGCCATCTCGGCTCACTGCAATCCTCGCCTCCTGGGTTAAAGAGGTTCTCTTGCCTCAGCCTCCTGAGTAACAGAGACTACAGGCATGTGCCACCATGCCCAGCGAATTTTGTATTTTTAGTAGAGACAGGGTTTCACCATATTGGTCAGGCTGGTCTCAAACTCCTGACCTCAGGCAATCCGCCTGCCTTGGCCTCCCAAAGTGCTGGTATTACAGATACGAGCCGCCGCGCCAAGCCGAATATTTTTTATTGAATAATTTTGTTCAGTCTGGGACATGTAGTCTCTGTAAATATTTTGAATAAATATTGCTCACTCTAACCACAAAATGTTTTAAAATACTGAGACTTTTATCATTAAAACTGACCTGTTTTTGGAAAAAGAATTAGAGGTAATATAAGTCTTCGATAGTAATTCAGAACTGTCACCTAGCTGCACATCTGAGACTTTCCGTATACTTTCAAAAAAGTCTCAGTGTTTTTTAAGCATGAGGAAGTAGAAGAATTAGGGATATAGTGTATCAGCATAAATAGTTTAAAATCAAATTTTTGAGTTCTTTTTACACAAAATAAAGTTTATTTCGGTCAGTAAACCTGTTGGCAAAATAGAGTGGCAAGAGAGAAAAGTAAAAATCCTATCCTTCTGAAAGCCATTAACGTGTTCAAAAACCATTCTAGTACTGACCGTAATATGCTACATTTGCATGTTGATGTTTGAAATTTATCAAGAAGTCAGTTTTTCTATTTGATTTAATGAGCGTTATCTCCAGCTAAGTCCTTATTAGCTGATAATCAGTCTTTTACTCAAGTACAGAAGAAATATAGAATAGAAATTATGTGGGGCAGGCAGATCACCTGAGCCCAGGAGTTCAAGATCAGCCTGGGCAACGTGGGGAAACTCCATCTCTACAAAAAATACAAAAATGAGCTGGGCGTGATGGCGAGAACCTGTAGTCCCAAATACTCAGGAGGCTGAGGTGGGAGGATCACCTGAGCCTGGGAGGTTGAGGCTTCCGTGTGCATGCAGGAGTGCTTGTCACTGCACTCCAGCAGAGAGAGAATAGAAACTCTTTTCTCCCTGCCCCATCCTTCTGCCTTTTTTTGTAGTGTGTTGAGAAAACAAGATTTCTTCTAAATTTGGTTTGAATACTAGTACACTGTTACTTTGTGATGTCTGCCATTTTTACTCTTTGCTGTTGTGTAACATATATACACCTCACGTTTATAATTAATGGAGTAGTTGTACAGTGAGTGAGTTCCAGACATATAAGTATTCTGTACTTAGTTCTGCCTAGTAAACCTATCGGCAGTCATCGTGTCTTCAGAATCGTGTCTTTGCTGGTATAAATTAGCCAGGTGCTGTGGTGTGTGGTATGTGCCGGTAGTCCCAGCTACTTGGGAAGATTGCCTGAGTCCAGTAGTTGGAGGCTGCAGTGAGCTATGATTCTGCGATGGCACTCCAGCCTGGGCAACAGAGTGAGACACTGTCTCTTAAAAATAAAGCCGGGCGCGGTGGCTCAAGCCTGTAATCCCAGCACTTTGGGAGGCCGAGGCGGGTGGATCACGAGGTCGAGAGATCGAGACCGTCCTGGTCAACATGGTGAAACCCTGTCTCTACTAAAAATACAAAAAATTAGCTGGGCATGGTGGCCTGTGCCTGTAATCCCAGCTACTCAGGAGGCTGAGGCAGGAGAATTGCCTGAACCCAGGAGGCGGAGGTTGCGGTGAGCTGAGATCGTGCCATTGCACTCCAGCCTGGGTAACAAGAGTAAAACTCTGTCTAAAAAAAAAAAAAAAAAACCTACAGGTGTAGTCTCTATGTTATCCCTACTTTAAATGTCTTCAGTTTCTATCTTGTTTAAATTTTTGGAACAGTGATTCTCAGACTTGAGTGTGTATTAAGAATCACTTTGAAAATAAGTTCCTGGATTCGATCCCCAGAGGTTTTGATTTTATAAGCCTGGGGTGGGTGAGGGACCATAGGTGATTCTGATACAGATGGTTTCTAGATCCTAATTTGAAAACTATATTAGTGAATCATTGGATTTTAAAATGCATGATACTGGGAACAGCTGGAATAATTCGGAGAAGTTGAATCTGTGGCACACTACCATCCAATACCATGCTGACTTTGGTGGCATTCTTGCTCCAGTGTATCACTTCCCAGGCAACCATTGCTGACCCCTAAATGTTTTAAACTTTAGTTTTATGAAATGCCTATATAGCAATCATTTGGGGGCTAGGGACTTGGAGGAGTTGAGGTGAGGGAATCATGTTTACAGCTATCAATCATTCACCTGTTTTATGTGTTAGCTAAATCAGTTGCTTTTCTTTTTCCCTGGTGGAGATCATCTGTGTCAAATGAACAGACAGTGGGGAGAGAGAAGGTTGATACTTTTAGACCATGGTATACTTTGCAGGTGGAGGAGATAAGACTTAAAACAGCTTTTGTGACTCAACTTGGGAAATGTAATCCTATTTCTTAAATTAAGAATTGGAAAGGGGAGCCCTCCAGGTTTGTAATCTAAACTACCATCCAATACAGGTATCCTAATGCAGATGACATTAACCTGTGACTCTGGTTTAGCGTTCCTAGTAATGTACTTCACACTTTTCCTTTTATTTTGGTGATTTCTGCGTTCCATCTTCAGTCATTTGGACACATGTAAAAGGAAAAACAATTTGGATTTTTAATTTTTTTTTTTTTTTTTTAGGGTCTGGCTCTTTCATCCAGGCTAGAGTGTAGTGACATAATCTATAGCTCACTGTAAACTCAAATTCCTGGGCTCAAGCAACCCTCTTACCTCAGCCTCCTGAGCAGCTGGGACTACAGGCACACACCATTATGCCTGGTTAATTTAAAAAAATAAATTTAAAAATCTCTGCCTTACTATGTTGCTAAGGCTGGTCTCAAACTCCTGGGCTCAAATGATCCTCTTGCCTTGGCCTCCCAAAGTGCTGGGATTATAGGTGTGAGCTACTTGACCCAGCCTAAAAATAATTTGGATTTTACTTTTATTTTATTTTATTTTTGAGATGGAATGCAATGACATAATCTCAGCTCACTGCAGTCTCTGCCTGCTGGGTTCAAGCATTTCTCCTACTTCAGCCTCCCAAGTAGCTGGGATTACAGGTGCCCACCACTATGCCTGGCTAATTTTTGTATTTTTCGTAGAGACAGGGTTTCACCATGTTGGCCAGACTGGTCTCAAACTCCTGACCTCAAGTGATCGACTCATCTCAGCCTCCCAAAGTGCTGGGATTACAGGTGTGAGCCACTGTGCCTGGCTAATAATTTGGATTTTAATTACCAATTTGCAAATCAACTTTTAAAAATTCAACATTAAAAATACTGAAATATTCATATAACACAAAATTCACCATTTTAAAGTGTATACAACTCAGCAGTATTTAGTACCTTCACAATTGTACAACCATCACCATAGTGTAATTCCAAAAATATTTTTATTACCTGAAAAATAAAACTTCTGCCCATAAGCTGTTACCCTCCTGCCTTGTCCTCCCCTCACTTCTGACAGGTTTTGATTTTATAAGTCCAATGTGGGTAAGGGACCATAGGTGATTCTGATACAGAGGTGGTTTCTAGATCCTAATTTGAAAAATACTAGCGAATTATTGGATTTTAAAATGCATGATACTGGAAAAAGCAGGAGTCATTGGCAACTACTAATCC